TGGGCGGGGGGTTAGGGGGGGTGGGTTGCAGCCACCCCAAAATTTGTTGTAGCCCCCCTGATCCCACTCCCAATACTGCTGCTGCCCGCCCCAAGCGCAGTGCAGCCCAGGCCAGCCCAATCCCTCCTGCAGAAAAGAGCCCGGTGCGGCCCCCGGCCCCAACGCACAGCAGCAGCCTGTGGCAGCAGGAGCTGCGTCTCTCCGCTGGGGCCCCGACTGGGTAGTGCTTGCCTCTGCCGCAGCCCTAGCCCAGCCACACTCCCTCCCTCACCACTGGCGGCAGAGGAGAGGTGGTGTTGGGTCACTCTGCGCTCGGGGTGGGTGGTGGTGGCACTGGGAGGGGAAGGTTGGGGGAGACTACGGTGAATCTTGGGGTGGCTACAGCCCCTCTGTAGATCCTTTCTCAGTACAGCTGCCACCCACGCTGAGCACAGCCCAGCCCAGCCCAGCCCAGCCCAGCCCAGCCCAGCCCAGCCCCACACCAGGAAGAGCCCAGTGCCACCCCAGCCGACTTACCTGCTGCTGATGCAGTCGATGTCTTGGAACGTATCTCTATTTGTTACCTTGTAAAGTGGATTCCCTTTATGCAGAATCTCATATAATGAATTTTGAGTATAAAAAGGGTCATTGCATATACAGAACCCACATAAAGTGAGGGAAACCTGTAATTTGCTAGTTTATACATTAAGTTTAAAAAACACAATAAACTAGGCAAAATAGTCCAAAGATATTGTTTTACTAGTTCTATAGGCATTATAGTTAAAGGTACACCTCTACTTCAGATTCATAACAAAAAACATAGCTTTCTTAATAAGGCTGTCAAAGAATTTAAAAATTTAATCACAATTAGTTGCACGATTAAAAAAATTAGTTGCAATTGATTGCAATTTTAATTGCACAGCTAAAAACTCAAAATTATGTGCAGAAAAACTCAAAATGATGCAAAATTGTGCAGGTACTTTGTAGTGTTGGGGGGTGGTTGTGGGGTGCATATGTGAAGGGAGAATTTGTGAAGGTGTGGGGGCTGTGGGGTATGAAGCCCAGGGTAGGAGGGGAGGGGTAGTCCCTGTATGCCCTAGCAGGATGCAGGGTACTGTGGGCCAGGAGTGAGGGGCAGTAGCAGGGCTGGGTATGGCCTGGGAGTGAGGGGCAGGGGCAGGACATGGGCATATCACTGCTCCCCCCCACAAACAGGTGTCCTCTTTTTGAAACTAGAAACATGGTAACCCTGCAGGAAAGTAGCACAGCAGTGTGTAGAGCAGCACCCAGCAAATAAGTCTGTAGAGCGGAAGGGGCCAAAGGAGAGGGAAGGGGAGGTTGCAGATTGAAACCCCCACAGTGAGGGAGGGAGTGGGGCAAAGGCTGGAGTGAATGGGGCCCCGCGGCTGTGGTGGGTCATGGGGCCTGATGCCTTTGCCTCAGGAACCGCTTGACATCATTTTGTGCTTCCCACCACTGGGTGGGCATTGGATGTGTACCCAGCACATGGTTCCCAGGGCAAGGCAGCAGGGTGCAGAATGCCAGCCCACAGTGGACAGCCTGCTACTGCCCCATGCACAAATCTGCACAACGACCTGCCCCGCCCCTGGGCCTCCATTCACTTCAACCCCTGCCCTACACCCTGCCTCACTGTGGGGGCCTTGATCTGTCCCTGCCTCACAGACTTACCTACATGTCGCTGGGCTGCATTCCTGGACAGGTGCATGCTGCAGGTGTGTGTGTTACCTTCATCAACTCAGCCCCCCAAGTCTCACCTTCCTGCTGCAGCTGCCTGGAGCCCATGCCCAGGCTGCCCTGTGGCTCCTCTGCACTGCCACTGCTGCCCCATTGGGCAGCCCAGAGGTGGTGGTGATGGCAGCTAAGTGGAGCCTGGGTGTAGGTATCAG